TACATTGAATCCTCGCATCATAGAACTATTATTTTACCATTTCCCCGCAAGCACTTAATAGCTCTTAAGTTTAGAGTAAATAATATTCTGAAATAATATTTTGATTAGAAAATAACTTTTCTTATTTTATGAGATTCAAGGAAGTACAAAAAAGTTGGAATTTTACAATAAATTGAAGATAAAATGAGCTTTTTAAAGTGCGTGAAAATGCGTGATTGCGGGGAAACGGTAAATGCGTGATTCTGCGTTAGAAATAGGAAATGGTATATGCGATAAAATGCGTGACTGCGGGGAAGGGTGTTAATACACTCAAGTTCAATTACAGGCAGTTGCACAGAAAAATATGAAGTTGACATCAGATTCATATAAAAATTAATCCCACCATATGACATGCCTAAACAAAGAGTGTAATAAAATTTGAAGAAACTGCGACGAAAATTTGTTATTTATGAAACAGACAGACGCACAGACAAACAGGATGTTGATATCCAATTAAAAAAAAAATGCATCCCAACATATAATATGGCTTAGAGAAGATTGTGTTAAAATTTCAAGCATCTACAATGAGTACCGTATATACTCGTCTATAAGTCGGATTTTAGTTAATCTCTGGTCAAAAACTCTATGTCCGACTTATAGGCGAGCTATAAAATGAATGGTTTTATATGAGGTCAGTCCCTCTGATGTACATGCTTATTAAATACAACCGACTTATAGGCGGACCGACTTATAGGCGAGTATATACGGTAGTCGCTGAGAAAACTGCAAATAAAATTTGTTATGTATGAAACAGACAGAGGCACGCAGCTAGGATAAGGCTGTCCGTAAAATATAAAACTGTTCAGACTGTAGTAACTTCTCTGAACTACCTAGATATGACGTCATAATAGAATATGACGTCAAGTCACTGCATACTTGAGCTGACATGACGGGGAAAGTGTCATAATTTGTACATGTTATGTAGATTTATTTTGGGTCCTTGTTGTTTTATCTCAAGTGTTAGGATTGTTTTTAAGCTCCGATGTGTTATTATGAAGGTGAATATTTAAAATTTAAATATTCTTATTTCTTTTCCTTGTCTGATATGGACATAATCAAACAATAGAGAAAAACTATGTGTGAAACGCTCCCCTCACACTTCGGTAGACAGAGTTAGAATTTAAGAATCGTGTTTATATTGGACTGGCACAAGTGAAAGACAAGGATAAATTGAAGATATTCTGCGTGAATCTACAAGAGAAGTATGTCCTCTAACTGAATTTTGCTGGGGAATTGTGTGTAAATTTTCCATTTTTGTATGAATTGCGAGAAGGCGTGGAAAATACCCCCTCATTTGTTGGCAAGTTGAATTTCTCGTAAAATATTTTCTCAACAAGTAAAAATTAAACCTGCCCCCAGCACTTTCTATGTACCAAAGATCCCGATGAATCGATCAAGGTAACAAACTTTGCACAATATTTTTGTTTTGCACTTGTGCCGAAGCGATTTTTGTGCAACATTTAGGAATGTAATAAATCTCCGTCACGTGATCAACACAGTCATGTGACATCACAAAAATACTTAATGATAAAACCTGATTAAGCTGTCAACTAAAGTTGACTGCAATTTCAAACAAGGCTTTCATATTGAAATTAAAATCTAGCTCAAAATAAAATGTATATTTTAAAGGCATTTTAGGCCTTCGGACAGCCTTATCATAACTGCGCACAGACAAACAAGAAGTTGACATCGGATTTGAACGAAAATGTATCCTACCATATGGCATGCCTGAGAGAATATTGTGTTAAAATTTCAAGCATCTACAATGAGAAGTTGTTGAGTAAACTGCGACGAAAAATTGTTATGTATGAATCAGACAGACGCACCGACAAACAGGAAGGTGACATCAGATTTGTGCAAAAAAATGTATCCCAACATATGGCATGTCTCAGAGAATATTGTGTTCAAATTTCGAGCATCTTAGATGAGTAGTTGCTGAGAAAACTGTGACGAAAATTTGTGATGTATTAAACGGACAGACACACAGACAAACAGGAAGTTGACATTTGATTTAAGCGAAAATGTATCCCACCATATGGCATGTCTCAGAGAATATTGTGTTAAAATTTCAAGCATCTACGATGAGTGGTTGCTGAGAAAACTGCGACAAAAATTTGTGATGTATGAAACGGACAGACGCACAGACAAACAGGAAGTTGCTATCCGATTTAAGCGAAAATGTATCCCACCATATGGCATACCACAGAGAATATTGTGTTAAAATTTCAAGCATCTGCGATGAGTAGTTGCTGAGAAAACCGCGACGAAAATTTGTTTCGGACGGACACACAGACAGACAGACGGATGGACAGACACACAAGAGTAAAACAGTATACCCCCTTCTCCTTCAGAGCGGGGGTATAAAAACATTTTATTCAGAAATTGAAGCTGTCCTTTGCTAAAAGTGCAGCAACTCTAGCAGTTTGACACGTGACCACTTCAGGACACTTCTGAAGTTAACCAAGTATGGAGATGACGAAAGCAACAGACGCCATGATGCGAAAGAATTTTTTACAAAACTTTGAGTCTTACATTTATGATTCTGAGAGGAAGATGTATGCACATTAAAACACTTAAAAGAGAATTTGACGTTTCATTCACAAATAGTGTGTTTAATTGTAGAGAAACTGCGAAAAGAGGATTCAGTATTTTTTCCGCAGTTACAGAAAATTTGAAATGGAGGTAAGACGAAGCAAGGATTCTATGATATCAAGAACTGGGTCGCCCCATGCATAAACCAAATACAACATCATTCAAAAACCCTCCATTTCAAATTTGAAGGAACTGAAAATTATGGCCCCTGTGTATAATGTATAGACTGGGAAAACATCCAGTATGCTTGGAAAAACCCACAACTAATGTTCTATGTACTTTAAACAGAAGGACAACCCCATATTTTTTTACCTCAAAATTTTAGTAATATAAATGTCGATGGATTAAGAAGCAACGTCTAAAAGTATATATTTCAGTTTTCAGACAAAGAGGCGTACAGCTCCTGACTGAAATTTGTTAATGAAATAAAGAAAATTGATTGTATATTGTTGAACGCCGAGTCGTCAATTTTTCAGCCATATTTCGGCGGTAAACAAGACAATGGGCTCCAGAGTCAAGTAAAGAATGTACAAAAGAAGCAGGCATTGTAGTTGCTACCACTTGTGAAGAACAAATGAAGAATAAATGAGGATTTTTTGAAAGTGAAAGACCACTCTTGACTAATGGACTAAAATCTCACTACTGTCCGGTCTTTTTCATGTCTGTAAAAGCAAATTCGAATTCAGTCGAAAGATCCATCGCCTTACATTTTATGCAGCAATGAATACACATTGTTTGATGTCGTGCATGGCCCCGATTTTTCCATTCTCTGTATTTAACAAACAGTACTCCACGTCTTACATGATGTATTATTTTTGGCATAGAGGAAAAACTCTCATTGAATTTCATGCCATTTAAAAATAACTTCTTCTTTTAAAATCTTGTATGTAATGTTACTTCTGAACTGCTTTGTACCGTCTCTGATGTATATAAACCATATTCAAAACACTCGGATGACTCCTACCTCGCATATTTGAATGGAGCGTAGCGGAGGATTTGCCGATTGTATTCAAAACAATTTATTACATTACGCGTTCGACGACATCATTTTCATCAAAGTCCTTTTCAACAACACTTTCAAAATCGTCTGTTTCTAATTCTATTTATATGAAATTTGGAAATATTAAGGTTTTGATTCTGGTTTAATTGATTTATATTTGAATTCTCACTGTTTTACATAGTATTAAAAAATTAAAAGGAAATGTCATAGTCATATGCGTAATAAAATTCCGAATTTTGTTCGTGCGGCTTTCATATAAATCGTCCTAATACTTTCAACATGAAAGTTATAAATTTTAGAATTCAAAATTGAAAAGGACTGTGAATATATTATGTCTATGCAAAATTTGATTAGAAATGGTTGCATGTTTAAAAAGTTATACATGTAATTGTCCACAACTTTTTGGGACGACCATCGTTGTTGAAATTATGAAGTCAACTTCTGTTAGTGCAATCATACCTTTATTGGACAAATTGATCTCTACCTTTGGCATACCAAAGGTCATAAAACCCGATAACGGAAGCCCATTTAACTCTCATGCATATACCTTGAAGGCGTTTGCCGAGAACATTGGTTTCCATCATCGCCGCATCACTCCGAGATGGCCGAAAGCTAATTCCCAGGCTGAATCGTTCAATAGACCAATGATGAAAGCCATTCGGGCCGTACACATAGAAAGAAAGAACTGGAAGCAAATCACCTTTTTCCTTCTTTGGCCATCAAAGGTCAGAACACCACTATAAAAGAAAAAAAGAGAAAAATTAAGTTTCACTCTAGAAAAGTATTTTTTTTCTTAGCATAAAATCATGAAAAATCATGATATAAATTAAGTCTGTAAGGAGAAGATTTAAACAAAAGGCCCATGGGCCACAGCACACACCTGAGCAAACTGGCAAGGAAAAAAAAGCAAAAATTAGTTCAGTATAAAGAATTTCGAATTATAAGTATTTGTATAGCAAATAAACAAAGTTACTCTTTCTTAGAAATCTAAACTTCACGTCACACATGAATCAATATTTCTAATTCTCTAAATTAAAAATTTCTTAACTGAGAGGGCATAGGATATATCCTGCACTAGAGGTAAAAAAAAAGAGTTCCGGGTAACGCAACTAGGTTAAGGGCTACCAAAAGGTAGAACAGTGTATGCAGAGCCTCGGGAATTCGATTATGACGTCACGGTGAAATTGTACATATGAATCTCGGCGAATAAATAATAATTTTCTTTTTGATATACTCTTACATACTTTGATTTCTCATGATTATTGTTAATATTAATCAATGTGTAACTTATTTTGTCAGTATAACAGTAATCGAATGTAAAATCAAAGCCAACTTGATCTCGCTGTACTTATAGATATGACGTCATAGGCTAGTTTGACACGCAGTTTCTCTGTACTTGAGACGCAGATAAAGCTGTCTCATTTGGTAGCACTTGAATGGTACACTTGTTAGTCGTCCTCACTGGTGTTTCATCATTCATGCTGTCAAATGCTATCTTCCATTGTTCTGGAACATCATCTGAATCAGTGGAATTCTGGTTACAAGCATTCCTGTAAAAACGAATGAAATTAGTTCCAAGAATCATAGGTACTTGCCTTGAATAATTTGTCTGGGGAACTACTAGAACAGGAATAGTATATGTAAATTCACCAAAGAAAGGTACACATATGTCAATTTCTGCATAGCCGCTGTATGGCAAAGCACTGCCATTAGCGCTCTGAACATTGAGTTCAAATTCTGAAAGGTCATGTAACTCAGGCCTAGGGTTTAAATGTTTGAAAAATTCTTCAGAAATACAGGTTATCATAGATCCTGAGTCTATGAGAGCTTTTGTTCTTAAGCCATTGACAATAATATCAGATTCATTGGATTCTCCAACTAACCTGTACAAAAGACTGGATTGATTTTTTGTGTAATTAGGGCTATTTTGAAATGCATCTCCAGTTTGCCCCGCAACAGGAGATGAAACTAGTTTAAAGTACTACCTGTACCAAACCCATTCATGTTACCAGACTGCTGTGTTGTACCAGTAAACTGCCTTTGTTTGCCATGGTTGCTGAGTCTGTTGCTGAATCTGGTGCTGCTGGTTTGGCAGTTGCTGTTGATTCTGAGATTGGAAATACATTCCTCTGCCTCTGTTGACAAATTTATTCCTGCCCCGGAAATTTCCTCTGTGGTAAGTGTTGTTGGAGGTATTTGTCTGAAAAGAATCTATTATTAAAACCAATTCTTTGGGTTTGATTACTTGCATTTGAACTTTGCTCAATTTTACCCATTCTGCTATCAAGTTTCTTCATCTGAGAAAGTAATTCTGTGAGTTGTTTTTGCATATTTTGCAGTTCAGAATTTTGAATTGTCAATGAATCTACATTACTTGACATAGCAACACTTGATTTTGGAACTGAATTTACAGATTTTAAACTAGTTTCCTCTTGTTCAATCTGTCTTATTTCTCTAAGAAGGGAGTGAAACTCTTTTACAGTCTCATACTTGTGCCTTGTTGCATTTCTTAACTGTGTGCTCCTTAAACCTGACCAAAACTTTGATCTAAGCATTGGGTCCTTGGCATTTACATCAATGTGACCTACTTTTACAGCTTTTGATGAACACTGTTCTAACCTAGATCCATAGGAAACAATTGACTCACCTTCTTGTTGATGATCTGAATAAAATTTCTGCATGATGTTTTCGGGTGTGCAGACATTCCCATAAAAATCGTCTAACTTTGCGAGGATGTTCTCAACTGTTGCATATTCTCCAAGTGGAATTAGAATTTCCCTCGCCGTCCCCTTCAGAGAACTTCTCACTGGCTGCAAAAGAACATGATCAGGCCACTGGCCCTTTAAGCACCTTACCTCATACGACCAAACGTCATAGCTCACTTCACCTTTCTGAACTTGCTCACTACCGCTAAAAGTTGGAAGTTTTATAGGGGTAGGGTTGTTATTTTGATGAAACAGAGCAGAGCTATTAAACAATTGATGTGATGACATAAGACTTGGTGGGTGTAAATAACCTGGTGAGGGTATGTGACTAGGGATCGGTACTTCACCTAAGGATGGTAGTTTAGGAATGGTACCCTTATTCAAACCATGTTCAACTTTAGGGGTAGTTGGAATTTTCTGCCCTTTCAACAGGTCATACTCCTCTTTTGTTATAACCCTGTAATGCTCTTCTGCATTGATTTGCTCTATAATTTCTTGCAAGTCTTTCTTACCCTTGTTTTCATCAATATCTTCTTGTAAATCCTTCTTACCCTTGTTTTCATCAACACCAGTTGCCATGTTGATTTTTCAATTGATACAAAATCGCAAGCAAAGATTAACTTATCGCAATGCGCAAATGTCAACACACAAGCAATCTCTCATTCAAATATTCTGTACAAACACAACTATATACACAATAAACTGAAAAAAACAATGTACCCAAAATTACCTCTGCTCTGTCTAATAGTCCTGTTGTTCTCAGTCCTGTGCTCCAATTAGTAATGCTGCAATATTAAGAAAGTGATCGCGCGCAGGGAAATTTTCAGCTACTATAAACTACTGTACATGATCAACTCGCATCAGAGACATATAAAACCATATCTCTGCTCGCATCAACAAAATGTTCAACAGACAATGACATTGACGCACAAAAATAAACATTGACAGTCAACAAAACAAACACGACTGTAGACAACACAGTACATATAATAACATCAAGCACAGTACACATACATTTGGCAGTCTAAATTCCGATAGGTGCCTGTTCAAGCACAGATAAACAAAACATTTACCAACTCAAAACACGTTTTTTTTTCTGTACTTCCGGAAGTTTACCACCAAAACAAGGAAAAAATATATCGAGCTCGATCCCGATCAAAATTCACACACGCACTTCTTACACACAGCCGGCATCTCTCAAACAAATCAATACAAAGAATATAAATCACAGTAATACACAATACAAACAAATAACACATAGAAAATATAAATACAAGTGCGCACAAATATTTTTCTTTAGATTTAATTCAAAGAAATCAATAAACTGTTGAGTTGTAGCTTCAGGTTCCGGAACACTTCACACGGAATAGAAGAGAATCTACCTGAACACAATTCACCGGTCACGTTACACGGATCACTGAGCATCCGAGAGACACAGTTCTGGATTCCATAGGATGGTTGGAATGTAAACATAAGTTAGCTAGCTAGAATAATATTTAAACACGTGTATTCAAAATGCGCAAACTTACAGCCTAGGCGGATCCATGGGGAAATAATAGGCATTGGACACGTACACACGGGCGTTGTGGACAATCCTCTCGTCCCTCAGTGGATTACTGGACCCTGGTCATCATCCATTGGAAAACTTGAAGTTGACGATAATTCATCGTGGAAATCAACATACACATCACTGTAGTATTCACTTCAAGTTGAAAATTCACGTGGGCGCCATTTGTCACAGGGTCACGGTCTTGTATGAATAATTCATAAACAAAACTGGTTCGGTCGTTTTACAATTTATTGATGGATATAAAGAAAAACCTAGAAAATAAAAAAACACTCTCACAACACTCAAACAAAACAATACGCATAGACAAACACGAAACAAAAAGACATTCCAACATTTACGAAAAGTAATAATTAATAGATATTTTACCGACTGCCAGTAGATCGTTACATAAATTAAACAAGTAAATGAATTACAAGATAAATGAACATCTTACCAGGCATCCAGTATCAAATCAGAAAAATATAATTATATGCTGTACATCGATTGAATCGATCTGTGATAGAATCTATATGATCTGCTGCCGTAAAGGCTGTAGAGCTTGGGGTGGGGATTTGGCGGGTTTCTTACTTTATATAGTGCACGGGTTAGTAAAACATGCATATAAATTAGTATAACGAAATTCATTGGTCCATGGTAGTTCACTGGTCAGTCATACGTAAAGGAAATGCTAAAAATAGAAATTCACCTGTACAAAACAAAACACTCGCACATGGCTCTCACATACCTGCAAAACCGGTTGTATTCGATTGGCTATGCGCGCCAATCAGAATACGTAATTATATTGCACAAAGCATTAAAGTAAATATTCAATAATAATTATAATTTAATAACAACTGTGACACTTTGTTACGCTTCAAGTTTATGAGAGTAAAAAATATTAATTTCAAAACGCGCTGTGTGATTGAATTTCTTTTTGGATTTTAAAATCGACGTACAAATTATTTTTTTTTTATTTTAGGGAAGGTATTTTTTCAGTATGTTTATATGACTTTGTATTCGTTTTCCCCTGATTATTCGGTGTAAGGTCATGGGTCATTTATTAGAATTGTTTCATCCTCATCCTGGCGTGCTCTATCTTGATAGATCACGGTTGTTAGATCAAAGTTAGCCGTGATGTATCAAAAATAAAAACACAGCGATTTTCAAAGGAAAAACACCGCAACAATGATACAAATTGTACAAAAATTATAAATATATATTTAAGATGCTCATCATCATAACAATTTGTCTTTTGTTGTCAAACTTGATAAATTACATAGATACATATCTATAATTTAATTTTATGGTACTTTATAAATGTAAATAATGGAAAAAAGATTTCATCTATCACTGTCCTCTCGATCACTGATGTCAGGATATTTCAAACAGCTGTATACTTAATACAAATTTACTATTACATGCAGTTTTGTAGCATGTTCAATACGTCATTTCTCTGATCCGTTACGACTCTACTTTTAGTCTACGCTGATCATGTGACTCTGTAAAAAGTTAGGCACATTTTGACGCGGGGTTTTACGAAAAGTAAACAAATCATGGTGGGTCGAAAAAATACTCCCGAATCAAAGGGCAAGTATTGGTGTGTTGTACCAGGGTGCAATTCTGATTCAAGAAAGAAAAATAAACTAGATAAATATCCTTGGATGCAGGATGTCTCCTTTGAACCCTTCCCAACGAAACGCAAAGAGCCAAAACTTCGAGGGAAATGGATCACCATGATACGGCGCCCCAAAGAATATGAACCTTTAGCTCATCACAGAGTTTGCACAAAACATTTTGTAGGAAATTGTCGCTCAGAAAATCATACCATCCCAGAACTTTTCCCATGGAATAATTACAAATCAGTATCTACAACAAAGCCCCTGTCTATTGAGAAGCGAGAACGAGCAATGGAGCAAAGTGCAACAGCACCTGCATTCCAAGACAAGGAAAACTCAGGTATGACAAATGTAAATATATGAGCGAACCCTACATAAAGACAACAGCTAAAAGTATACAAATTACTTATCATTAATGTATGCATTTTTGAGCTAAGATCACCTTTATCAGCTGTTCATATCAGACATAGGTCCAGTCTTAGCACAATTATTATTCACCTGATATCCATCTTAATTTGATATGATTACATGTATATAACTAACATCTGAGGCCAAAATAAAAAATACCTTTGTTTCCCCTAACGCGACCGACCCAACTGAAACGCTCCGACTGAAATGATTTTTTAAAATAACATGATTCAAATTTTTTTTATTGTCAACCAAGTTTCATAGAATACAATTTCATCAAAATCAGTATTTATCAGAATGGTGGACATTGTTCTACTGTGATTTTCAAGCATTTGATGGAAACAAAATAGCGCCCAGATGTGATAACGTAGAAGTAGTTCTTTACAAAACAACGGCGATGTCTCAATCTTATGCCTTTAGCTAGCTATAATTCTTCACTCTTGAAACAATTTGATAAAAAAAATTGCCATGCCTAATTAAGAGGTGTCTTGGCGTCTCTATGTGAGTGAATAAATTTTCAAAAGATGGGGACGATAAACAACGAACAAACCAATCTGTCTGTTGAATTTCAGGTACATGGAAAGGCCAACCTCATGAGCAAATGAGGGACCCACCTAGTGAACACATCATTCAATTTTACTGCATTTTATTTAATTTGAGTTTTGATCTAATAACCAATTCATTTATGTTCCTATGCTTACTAAATGCCATTATGGAATCATAGGAGTTTTTGTAAATATGTCATCATATTCATAGATATAACTCAGTTGTACTTTTTCATGCCTTTATTTACGGGTTAAACCAAGATTGTTTTATATAGCATTTTTATCATTTGTAGATTAGCTTTGGTTCATTTTAATTTTGTTTTATTACCATTTCCAAATAGTTTTGAAATCATAATTCAGCTTCCTCAGACGTCCAGTGTCATTTTCTTTAATTAGGCCCTTGAAGATTGGTTGTTTCTTTGCTTTTATTCCTTTTGTTGGGACAACATTTGAATATTTCCCCATTGCTCCAAATTTAGACGTACTACGCATCATTAATCAGTGGGATCTCTTTTGAGACAGCATCTTCTGCGACACTGGCCAAAAGTTTTTATTGTCCCTTTTGAAGGATCGTTTTCAACGTTCTGCGACTTAAAATTATCCACTTACGTCTCAACTCCAAAGCAATATGCTCTAGAACCACTGCAAATCTAATGGCCCTCAAAAAAGTACAATGACTGTCAATAAGCACTGGAGGGTGATTAAAGTTTTGAAAAAATATACTCGGATGTCCAGTCTTTACGTATTTGAGAATCTTGTCTTTTTTATTCGATTTATATAAATGTACTCTGGCGTGAGATATCTCAAAAGTTCATCTAATTGAAATTACAGTTGTGAATAAATTAATCATGAAGTTTCTTTTCAAACGGCATATGTATGATACTCAGCATTTTGTTCACAAATCACTTTCTTTTGTACTTTTCTTATTTATAAATATGTAATCTTCCATTAAATTTTAGAATATATATTCAAAGCTGCTGTCAGAAAATAAAATTGTTTACCTACCGACCGACCCAACTTGAAAATTTAGGGTCGGGTTAGGGGAAACAAAGATATTTTTAATTCCGGCCTGAGGTTACCATCTTTTCCAAATACACATTACCTGGTAAGAACATCATATGCAGGGTTGTCCCCAAGGATTTGAAATAGTGGGTTGCATTTAAGAAATAGAAGGAAAACTTGGGGTTACTCCTCTTATAGTAAATTGAGGGACAATCCCAAAATAACCAGGGCATCATATGCCACTAGGTGGACTAGTACTATTAATTTGCCACTAATTTGACTAAAGGGGAGAATCCCCTGGCTCTCAGGTCTTAGGGACAGCCCTGTAATATGAAATGAATTTATTGTAAATAGAGCTGTCCTCATAATAATCACCCATGCAGTGTACATTCAATGAAGTTCTTTTGGACTAGTAATAAAAAACTATCTTTTACAGACCCAGCACATATGCTGCAAGTA